TATTTTAGGCCGAAGAAATTCTTTCCTATCTGCTTATGGAATCAGCTGCCGGCAAAGTCCCTTCTTCTGCGTTTCCTCGACGTGCTCACCTGCCGGGCAGACTGGATAGAGAAGGCGAGGAGGAGGCTGCGCGAGCTACAGGGGCCCCACGCTGTATACTTGGGAAAATCCTAACAAACTAGCCAACCGATTTTCAATTTGCTCTCTACGTCCGTGGGGCTCCTTCACCCGCGGCGAAGTTTGCCTTACTGCCTTCTCGGCGGCGTCGGGTAATCCAGAAGGCAGAGGCTTCTCCGTTTGAAGGAACCGGCCCTCCGTAATACCGTGCCCTTTTAATTCGCAGATAATCTCACGAAAGTACTAGGAAAAAGTCAAGTTTGCGTCTTTAGGATCGCCGCCCGGTTGGTTGGAAAAATAAAAATGTGACTTTTTTATTTGCGTTCGGCATGCGATTGTGCCCCGACCGCGAGTCGTTTCGACGCCGCAGGGGTTTTCGTTTCTTCTTTTTCCTCGTTTTTCTAACGAGTCTAATAATATTGTCTCGCGTTTCTAACGCGACGACGAGCGCAATCGGATCGCATCTCCGACCAGAATAGAAGCCCGAAATCTCAGATCTCTTGGCTCGGCTTTTAGCCGGCTTTTCACTGCTGCTCTCTCTTCCTCTTCCACTCTCTTTCTCTCTTTCTCGCTGACATTCGTGGCAGAGGGATCTTTCGGGACGTGTGTGCGTTTTGTACGCGTGGTCTCGCGCTCGCGATCGCGCGAGACGCCACGCTGACGATCGTTCGAGACGCGGCATTACGTCTCACGCCCTCGAAATTCCTTTCTGGCTGGCTCGTAATCGAGCGAATCGCGACGAAAATCGCGCCAACCAGAAGAAACGACCGCGTGGCGTCGCCTAAAAATTCACGCAACCGATAAACATCGAACGATAAGAAGGCCGGCCGGGTATCGTGGCACAATAGGAAAGCAAATGAAACGAAATCCACGCTTCGTCGATCCGTGAATCGTGTACGCGACGGTTCTCATCGAAAATTAATAACGCCTTCTAACGTCGCGGACTGGGACGTTTTGTCGTAATTGATGTTATTGGACCACATTCGAAGGCATCGTCTTTCATCGTCCGATGGCGAAAGATATCCCCGAAGGTGGCGGGTGGGTGGCACTGTCTCGCGCGACATCTTGCGTGTAATTTGAAAACCTCACGGGATACATTATAAACAAAACACGCCGTCGAGCACACCACGCACCGATTCTTACGGTCCGATCATTTCTGTCAGGAACGGCAGCGTCGAACGACAATCGCCGGTGCATTTCATTCGCGAATCGAGCAGACGGACGTAAAGGGTCGTGCGTCGGGATTAGCATAATTCGTAATTTAATTTCCCGATAAATTTCCAATGGCGTTGCTCGCCAGGCTGGCCGAAATGAGATGGTATCGGCTTGCGCGATTCCACTAATTCGCGTCTAAGTTTATATCGGCCGGGAGAGAGCAGCACGGGGTCGCGATAGGATCTCCCTCTCTCCCTCCTCACTCTCGTTCTCTTTCCCGTTGAATCTTTTTCTCTCGTGGCCGCCTCGTAAAATCGGATTATATCGGCTCTGTCGCCCCTGCGTTGTCGTACACACTTTATTCGAGCCACCACACGATATTCCCCCCTCGTGAACGACCGGGGTCAGGGTTCGCGGTGGTGCCCCATAATCACACTTCCCTCTAATTAATTTATCAAGACGATTTCTCCAGCGCTCCTCGAACCGGGGCTCGCGATCAATTGCTCTCTAGGGCGATATGTATCTCTGAAGAGTATCATTTTTTCAAATACAAAAATTATTTATATAAGCGTCACTGTACTTTAATAGTTCCAATTTTACGGATGGATTATTACAGTTTGGCGTTTCTGTCGGCGATAAATTCAATTGTCATCTTGCAATTATTCTGAACAGTGTCTTATTCTTTCGAAGGCAAATTGTGTCCCCCACAGTGCCAAAAAGCTCGACACTTTGGCATCGGACTTCCGTGGAATTTTTGTTATCGCGTTCTTCAACTTCTTCCCGCGGCTCGAACGATTAACATTCTCGGATCACTATTTTAACGTGGAAGGTTGCACTGCTTGGGAATCTTACCATCGGAAATGGACAAAATCCTAATCTGGATGAACATTTCGTCGAAGGATAAAAAATAAAATGTTTGTTTCGTTCGTTGTTTATTTTTCTAATAAAATCTTGTACATCTGCGGTCGGAAGGTGGTGTTCTTAGGATGCTGTCGGTTTCTCGCTTCGTAAGATAGAATCTGTCTCGATGGTCCCACGTCGAAATTGTTTCCGACCGTTTTCAGTTTCTGGAGAACGAACGAATCGATCTTTGCCACGAGTGTGGGGGTCAGCCTACGGAATTTCGAAGGAAGCTTATTTACGAACTGGCCGATTAATAAAACGAGCCGCGCCTTCGATCATTATCTTCGCGCCGTTTAAAGCGACGGCCATACTCGGACGCCATAAAATCACGGGCCACTTTGTTACCTTTTAATTATTATTGTTGTTATTCCCACTGAATTTTTTTTTTAAAGAGATAATTCTTATTCCCCAAATAACAAACACTTTTTCCGAACATCGAAATTTTAATATAATTTGAAAATATATTAAGACGATTTAATGTTGATTCGCGGAACAAATTCCTCCGTTATCACCAACAAAAATGGCGTCGCGGAGGGGGTGGGGGGTGGGGATAGAAACGTGTCGATCCGACGTGGTGTCACGGAGAACGACTTGGCCGAATAAATGTCTCCTACGCGCGATGAGTCACAAATCCTAATGAAAATAATAATGCCCGAAAGATTCCGTTCTTTCGTGGCCGCGGTGCAACGCGGATAAATTTACTGCGCGATCTCGGCTCGGATAAGGCATACCTGGGGACACCTCGTCGGGGTTATGGACCCTGGCATCCAACGGGTGGCGCGGAAAGTACCGGTGGAGACAAGCTTATCCGCCTTGTCCTTGCCTCGGAACTACGTCGTTCCACGTGTGGGATCTGTTGCATCGCGTCTCGTGGAAATAATTCTTGTCCCGGGGACGAGAACGGACTCCCCTGCAACCGGGCTGTGAATGGTGGGACGAGATTTTCACCTGCCGAACGGATTTATCGTTGCCTCCTCGGGACTAGTCTGCCCCCTTCTCTTCGCTCGTCGATTTCTTCTCGAGATTCTTTTTTAGTGCCACCTCGTGATTCCGGCGACGATAATTCCGCGAAGCTCCTTCCATCGGGACGCCATTTTCCCATCTGTTTATCGGTTGGACGATATTTAGGTTACATCGGATGACTTATAAAACTAATATAGTATATGTCAAGGGCGAGATCATTGTAGATAATGCGTATGCAAATTCGGACTCGACGAGGTTCCCGGATGGTTAACGAATAAAATTACTTTTTTTTAGACGCTTTTACCGTAAGGGTCCCCGAACGTGCGAAACGACACCCGGGGTTATCGATATCGCGGAACACGATGGGTCCCCGTGAGATCAGGGAGTAGCCGTCCCGATTCTGTTATCAGCTCGGTAGCCGGGGCCCGGCGAACGAGGGGGACCGGTTCTCGAAAACACCCCGTAGACAAGTGTCGCGGCACTTGCGGCGAACGGTGCCGTATCGCGGCGGCCACGTCTAAACGACTTGTAAAACAAGCGCTTAACGATTGCTCGATCCTGGGACGCGGAACGCGGACCCATCAGAGGGGAGGGGAACGGAGGAGCGCCAGGGGCCTTCTCGAGTCCCACGTGCTTCGACTTCGAGGAGGTCCAGCCCGCTAAATTGAGTTTACGAGACGCCCGAGAGAGCGTCTCCCGCCTTCGCCTCCTTCCCCCTCTGATCTCCGCTTTATATTCCTATTCTTCGGTTTAACTCGTTCCTCCCCGATCGCCGCGTCCACCCTTAATTCACAAGTACCGCGGGAGAGGTGTGTACCCTCTTCTCCCGGTAGTTTACGCATCGACGTTGGTATTATCTTACCCGATATTATTCCGAGCCCCTATCCTCTTCCGCTTCGCGGCGCTGCCGATCACCTCTCGCGCAGGCGCGCACGACCAGTCGCGTTTCCCTCGTAATTATATTGGACCGCACGTGGCGCATTAAGACAATACGCTGTTACATTTTATATCCGTCGAATCCGTGCATAGGAAACTCGCCCTATCGATAATTTTCCTAGCTCGGATTTCTCTCTGGTATTCATTTCTTCTAGCTCTGTACGTTTATTTTCGTTCGTTTCGTAAGAATCTCGTGATAATCTCGCCGTGGCATGTCTTAACCTCAACGCAGTTCGATTCGCAGTTCGTTTTGGCGATGTCCTTGTCTTCTGTCCTCTGACATATTCATCTTTGGTTCCAGGTTAGGAAAATTTCGTAAATATTTTCAGACTGGAAGAACGAACGTGTCCCCGATCGTTGTTATTCGTTTTCGAGCAAAATAAATTGCTCGAAACGTTCGATTACAAAGTGCTCGGAAGAGGACGTTTCACGTTTAACAGTTATGTTAGGCTCGTTGCGAGCGAACCCCGTAAGGACGACCAGGTTGTTGGATACAAGGAATTACGAAAGTGCGAATAAGCTGTGCTACGAGCGCCTCGGTGTATTAATTGGAATGCAGCCGTTGTGGCTGGCCACACGTATTGTTAGCGGGTAACGAGAGGCCCTCGGGATCGATAAGGAACGTAAAACGGTCCAAGGATTATCGTAAAAGTCTCTTCCCGTAATTGCGTTTTGTGTTCACCGTTCGCTGCACATTTAGTATCCCGTGATAGTGTGGGTACAGTAGAGATTTCCACGTTGATCGTTATTTATATTTCTTATCTTGTTTCCCAAAATAATGCTCCAAGAAAATTTTGGTTCTAAAAAAAATGCCTTGGGTGCAGTGTATGACTCGAGCTTCTATCTTTTATTTAATTCTGATCGAAAAGATGTGATTCGAAACTGTCGACGAGCTTCGATTAATCGAAAGAAATGTTGTGTTACAGCGGCCAGAGAGAGGACAAGGCCCACGGCGGTGGACTCGGGGATTCCAGCAGCGAGAGCGGCGACGAGAAGAGACAGGCCGTCGGCCAGCAACAGCAACAGCAACAGCAACCCTCGGCGTGCGCCGTCCAACAGCAACAGCAGCAGCAACAGATGGTGGAGCACCAGCAAACGTCTGGCATGTACCAACTTCCGCCTCCGGTCTCCGTTTCCAGTCCTCACTCGTACCACCAAGGCCACGGCTCGACCTTGAGCCATCCTCACACGCCGACGCACCATATGCAGCACCACGACACCAGCAGCGAGAGCGGCGACGACAAGCGAAATCTTCATCATCAGCTGCAACATCATCTTCAGGTCGGTGCTCACGGTACTCACGGCTTGGTACATCCCACGGCGACCTTGCCGCCGCCGCCACCCAGCTGCGCCCAACAGAAGAGCCAGTTGGACTATATGCAGTACTATAGTCCACAGGTATAGTGAATCGTTTGCGTAATTTCAAGAGAAGGGATACGGTTCCTGGTGGAGGGATTTTATGGTAAAAAATCATGAGATTCTAAAGATCACTGTTTCTCGGGCCACTCTGGGTCTAGATCCAAGAGAAACAGTCCTTGATCATCGCTTTCAATGCTGATCAAACTTATGATTTTCTGCAATAAAAATGCAGTGTTTCTTTGTACAAGTATATCACTTAATATACAGGCCATCTGTGTAGGTGTAAAGAGGGATACCGGAGGTGAGATAAGGGACAATGATTCGTAGAGTCGATCCACGGCACAGAAATAGACAAAATATTACGTGAACGTAGACTGTCTCTAGACCAGACGCGTTGAATGTATTTTGGCTCGAGGGCCAATTTCTGTTTTCTAGTCTTAATAGCTGTTATTATGCTATAATTTATGTTTTGGAAACATACGTTGACTGAACTTTAATGTTATATTTGGATCTTCTTGGCTTTGGACTCTAACAATTGACGTCGGTTTAGCGTAACACGATTTTTATGAAATTTACACGTGAAATAATTCTTAGACAAAAGCTCGTATCTAAGAGGTGAAAAGAGATCTCCAAGTTGGAGAGGAAAAACATATTTTTCTTTAATCTAGAACATTGAAACGAATAAGATCAGTGTTTCTCAACTTTTTTTATATCATTTGGACAAAGGGGACGAATGGAAGGTGATTTTGTAATTGCCCCCTGCGGGGAGAACGCCCCACGTTGGGAAACACTGCTATATGCGGTGCCGCTAGATGGCAGAGTGGTTAAATCTGTTTCTCACAGGTTTTATTAAGCAAATGACTTCATATAGGAGTCAATTGCGGCAAGCACAAATTGCGTTTAGACGCAATTGCCTTATGGCAAGGGTTCCTGGGCAAGCCATAGTCAGGCGTGGACATGAACAAAATCAATTATAGAATGGAATACTTCATAACGAACAAATAGAAATTTAATTGTTTGACTACATATGCTAACAGAACTTGTTTAGAAATCCGGTCTTGTACCATTTTAACCTACGTTTCTCTGCATATTCTTGTAGATGGCATCCAGACAGTATCAAAAACACAATCTACTTTTGTCTCGATCGTTGTCCGTCCGACTTACAAACACCCATAGAAGCCAGTTATAAATTTCACAGGAAGAAAACTGTTTTGATATTCGAACGATGGTGTTTTTTGTTGTTGCAGGACTACCTGATAGGCACGCCAACCTCGGCGGACCTCCAAAAGTCCCTGCCCCACACGGCCACGACGATGCAGATGGGTGCTATAGCTCCTTCCATGGGTGGGCTGAGCCCAATGGGTCCATCGACGATGTTGCCCAACACGATGCAGGGCGTGAACACGATGAACACCATGTCGATGAACGGCATGGGGATGGGGACTTACCAGGGGATGGGTGCCATGGGGATGGCCACGTCGCACAGCACTTATCACAGTGGTCTAGTGCTGGGCGATTATCATTCGTTGTGACCCTGGGCCCCGGGCAGCCAGGGTAAGAGGAACCAAGAGAAAACTTAATGGAGAACTCGTTTCGATTCGTGAGGATCTGCCACGGAATTATCCTTTGAAACAATTAAACTGTTCGCCCTACCCCTCCCAGAGCTACCGTCGAGCCTCTCGAGAGACGTGTCGTGTCCGCGATAGGACCAGCTTTTCGTACTGGGCGGAATATCTAGGTAATCAGAGAACGTTTCTCGGGTAGATCGTATTCGGTGGGTTTGTCGAATCGAATTTACGGTAAAAAATGAAGGAATCGACGAGGTCCCTGGACCGTCGATTGGTCACAGGTTGGACAAGTGTTTTAAAAGAGAATGTCAAAAAAATATCTTGATCCGAGTGACCGTTCTGCCTCGACTTTCGCATAGAAACCGAGGACTATGGGGCAGGGTATATGGAGCTCGGTTGGTAAACGGGAAGATCGAGGCAGCAGGGAGAAAAGGACGCTTCCGGGTGAAATAGCAAAAGACATGTTAGCATTTTTCTTTTCGCGTATCGCCTTACGCGCGACAAGGCAGAGCTCGTACACTTCCAAGAAACACGGCCCCGGGCCGTGTCTATTTTTTCGCGGTACCAACCCATCATCCCCCTTCTAATCTCGTAGCGTTAAAACACCCCCGTACCTAGATCCCCTGAGAATAAGAGACGCATACGTTATTTACGGTTACCAGTAGTCGGCTAAGACTGTACACGCCTCGGAGTTCCGTTGGTAGCTTCTGTTGCATGCGGCGGTACAAACGTTTAGAATTAATTTTATCGCGTACAAATATTAGAAAATATTTACTACGAAATTGGGTACGATTAGTAAATTTTTAACGTTAGAAATAAATGACTTCGGAATCGCCATTTTAACGCGAAAACTCGTTGCTTCCCACGTCGTAGAATCGACGGTAAAAACAAGATGGCCGACACTGACGAGCCCAGAAAGTTCTCGGAAGCCACAGTCCGTTGTTCGAAAGACGACCAAGAAGCAGACAAAGTCATGAACGATCCCTGAGGCGTGTACAGATCTCGAGCCATCCGCTAATTAATTAACGTCGCTATAACGAACCACACACGCTCTTTACACACAACCTTCTTACACCGTACGCTTCTGTGTTTGTCCTGTGTACATATGTAGATAATACACACACACACACACACTCACATACACGTGCATTCGAGAGAAGATTAAGTTAATCTCGTTTGTATTAGGCGAGCGCCGGGTGCACGCGAATGGCAATTCAATTTCGCCGAACGGGACGCAATTATTCGAGGGAAAGATATTAATTTGCAACCGGGGCTTAAAATTTTCAATTCCAATTATTCGAGACCGGCGATCACTGTGTTGGTAATTATCTTTATAATGCGTCGATGGTATCGATACCAGATAATAAACGTCGATATTTATTAATCACGTGCAAGCACGTACTTGGTAGCATTTTTTGGTACCGATACATTCATAATTAATATTGATAACCAACCCAAAAATACTTGTTATAAAGGAATTGACCATTATTGCTCGTTCCATATTAATTAGAATTTATTATTTTTTTATATTGGCATCGAATATCGATACTTACCGCCAAGTACTTTGGTATCGAATTGCTCGAATAACGTCGATATATACATATATCGCACGAAACCCTCGCCTACCAACTTCTGTACAGACTGTTCGAGAGTTTGTCCGAGCTTCCACGATAGTTGGCTTTAGTTCAAAACGAAAACGCCTCTTGATCAATTTCTGGGTGAAAATTGGTTTCGATCGTTCCGCGAACGGAAAAGAGACGCGCGGATTTGAACGCTATGCAAATTAACTCGAAGCGACGCGTAGTAGGCGGAGCAGCTGTTTCCTGCCAACCAATTGCTTGGTGCCAATCTTTGCTTCGCGAATAGAATCAGCAACACCTTTTCAGACCGAACAGTTCGAGCCAGAGATGGTCAAAATGTTGAAATCAATTTATATGCCATTGAAATCACCGTATATAATTTACGTGTTTTTATTAAGATCATTTCTAATGATCAACTACTAGACAATTGAGTTAGATCCTTAGTTGTTATGCCAGCAGTGCTGGTAGTTTAATTTTAGCGGTAAGACATTACGATTGATGAAATTAACAACAATTCCGGTCGAGTGCATTCTTTAGAACTTGTTGCAGTACATAACGTTTTTAAAATTTGTTCGTTCGCTTTCCTCGCCTGAAATCCTCGAACGATCTGTACAGGGACGTCCAAAATCGCCGTTCGAAGAGAATCTTGAAGTAATCCGTTGATTTCTCGAGCACCCGGTATAAGATAAACACTGTCGTAGCATAAGTTAGCCCGTAAGGTATCATTTAATCGCAGTTCGCAGTCTGTACATAAACGTAAAAACGTGAAACGAGAGTGTTAGAGAAAAGTGTGACCAGAGTGCTAGAGAAATAGAGAGAGAGAGAAGAATGATTGAGAAGAGTAAAGGAGGAGGCAAAAAGCAGCAGGAAATATAGGTATCGCGCACCAGAGGTGACAAACAGAGTTTTGAGGGGGTAGGAAAGCAAGAGTTATCGGTTCTCTATTTAAGAGGCATCTCTCGCGCAGATGTCCCGGAATGTATTCCGTTCGCTGCGACATTGCCTTGTAAGATTCTTATCTAGGACACTGGAGGAAGGGAAAGGATTTTTCCCTTTAGAAATAGTCCTCGGGACGAAACAGGGTAAGTTAGAGAAAAAGGGGGCGAGAAGTGGAGGATACCAGAGACGGGCAAAATTTTATTCGAACAAGATGACACATTCTTTTTATTGTTTTATCCGACGAAAAGGCAAAATGTACATAGAGGAAGTATACGAAACAGGGTGAACGAACGAGACTCGATCGAATTAGGTTGCTTTAGGTAGTTTTAAATCGTACAAAGGCCTACAAAATTATGATCGATCAAAACGTTGAGCAAGTCATTGTTCGAAATTGTCAACCGGGCAAGAATTTTGCCTGTTTCTGGGGGAGGAAACTAACTAGCAAAGAATACGAAAGAAAGACGATAGAGGCGCTTTTGTATAGAATTCACATCTGAGACTCTTAGCAGCACCGGAAGTTCGCGCCAGTCGGTATACGAGAAAGCCACGACTGGTTTCTGCCAGGCTGGACAATTTTTATATCGTAAATTTTTATTCTAGTTACCTATTTAATTTTCACCCTACAAAATTATCGATTCTTTTATACCTCTAATCTAGAGAACTATAAAATAATGCAGAGGTTCCCAAATTTACCCTCACCCATAAAATATGTTCTATGGTCGTTAAAAAATATTGTCCACGTGTTAAGAACCCCCTAAAAGTATTGTCAAGTCACTAAGAGCTCAATGAAAGTATTGTCGATGCAACAGGGGCGCCAGTAAAAGTATTATCGAGAGCTCCGTGAAACTGAAACGGTTGGGAACCTCTAGTACACACTGTTTTTTAAATAATTTACACACCGAATGTATATATAAAGCAGCAGTGATTTAAAAAAGACGAAAATTGGATAGCCCGTCGCAGTGTTTCTCGGTATCGACGTTCTCTACGAGACACTCGCAATCCCGTGGACGATCGCGAGCAAAAATGTTTCGATTCACGCACAACCTATGCTTTGTACGCCACAGTATACACGTACTCTTCGCCAACGGGCTGCACGCGCGCGGTGTTCTGGCAAAAAAATGCACACAAGCGCGGATTGAAAACACGCATGTTTCGAAAACGGTACGTTTCTCTCTTGGAACGTTTGTTTAACACCGTGAGAAAACAAGCAAATCGTTTGCTCTCCGAGTACAGCGTCGAACGTTCGATCGAGATTTTTTTTTTTTTTTTAAATTTCGATCTACTATTTCTTCTTAGACGGACATCGTTCGATACGTTACACAAGCTTTTCTACACGCGAGCAATATCGTGTTCGAATCAATTATATTTCTTAACTAGGTTTCCGAGCAGTCTTTTTATCTCGTTTTGTACAATCAACTTTTATGGAGGATCGATCGTTCGATTTATTTTCATTTATTTCGATCTGCTGAATACGAGCAACCTCCCGATCAACGTTTAATCATTGTTATCACTCGAAACATATTGCTGACCGAGCAAGGAAAACATGGAACGCCCACAGTGAGAGTTTAATTATCCAATTAAATGAATAAATTACAAGTTCCACGGCCATTGATCAAAATTCATCCACGTTTGCACAAATTGTCTAGCCACAACGATATTCGAGTACTCGAACAGTCGAATACGATTTACGATTAGAACGAAGAGTATCGCAAACAAAGGAAACGCGCTAAAGGAATGATAATAGAGGAGACACACGTAGAGTCACACACACACACACACCCACACACACACACACACACGCATGCAATTATACGATGAAAGTGTTTCACTAAGCAAAGACGATTATTAATAACTGAGAGTTCTTCCCCGAGTACTTCTCATTTGTGTATTTTAACGGACAAGCCTAACGTTGCACAACTAACTAAGACAAATTGCTAAGAGAAGCAAAGAGTGAACGATAGAAAAAGAGTGAGAGCGAGAGATTGGTATTATCGCGTATGTGTGTGAATGAAGACGAAACGAAAGAAGGGGTGGCATGATAGACAAGTAAGAAGATCACGATGTACGATCGAACTGTAATCGAGTAAAGTTGATGTTATTTAAAGTAATAAAAGGAAAATATTATATACGTTGACGTTGCGTGACTCCTTACACGTTATCCCGCAACCGGTTGGATCCTTTGCCACGAGAAAACGTCTTCCTTTTGGATCGATCATTCGCAAACATAGAAATTAAATTTTGCGAGAGCAACGTGTGAACCCAAGACGGGGCAAATAATTGATAAATAAATGGAAAAGAAAGAGTAGAACCTTAAAGATGGTATCGTTCACAGTTGAAGGAATTCTTGTACTCATTGCGAAGAAAATTCATTGATATTGTTACGATAGAATCATTATAATATTATAGCCGAAGGCAGAGGCGTATCTCGGTAAGTAAAACATAAAATATAATTTTATTTAACTATTTCATTCATCACTGACGACTAACACATTTGTTCATTATTGTTCCTATTCGAAGCCACGTTTGCCCAGAAATCTAAGAAAAAACACCCTGGAGTTGCCTGCCACCGATAGACTAATCGTATTAAGAGAAAAGGATCGAAATGGTAGGACGTTTGAGAACTAATTTTCTATCGGAAATTATAAAATTATATAAAATATATAAAATATATAAAATTATTATCTTGCATAAAACACAGTTTTGTTTAACCAGAATTGTCAAATAAGTCGGTGGTTCGGTTTCAGAGATAAAGGAGTTCTGTTTACGAAACTACCTGCAGCAGCTCGGAAAGATCGTCGACCGATACGAGCCAGTAATTATTTGAAAACGAGCATCGGTCCAGTTCTATTAGCTCTATCAGCGATCGCCGATGACAGATAAAGTCGGGCCTCGTCTTTGTGCCGATACTTGCCGGTTCGAGCGCGCAACATTGTCGGATATAGAACCTTCGTCTACCCTCGGGATCGCCTACGATCCTCAAAAAGAGCATCTGGCTCTTCCACGTGACCCGATTTCTTTGTGCCCGATACGTCTCTTGTCTGCCCTATCGCAGAATCATCTACCGACAATTAACAGTGCAAACAGTAACAAAGCAGTCTCTGTACATACTTGCAAAAGCAAACTGGGACCAATACTGTTTGTAAAATTGCAGTTTCTATTAGCGAAGGATTCGTAGACCCTTCAGTTTCTCTTTTGAAAAACAAGACAGTCTTATACATATATTAAAAAAAACGAAGTTTGTTTATTAGAACTGGACTCTCTAAGGGCGATCTACGAGGCTCTATTTTTGTCTGTTATAAAAATTGTGCTACCGACGTGTTTGGCTTTCCGAGATTCGAGGAGGCTGATTTTAGATCTTAAAAAGTATCCAAAGATCCTTTAATCGGCTCCCTGGACCGTCGAACAACACTGTTCTCCCCCCCCTTCGGACGTCTTTTCCTCGATCCGTCAGCCGGGCGGAATAAGAGCAGTCGACGCATGCTCATCGGCCTGTTATAATTTCGGTTCTATTAGCCTCGTAGTGGGACCCATAAGCCCCGAAGGGATTTCAAGAGATCGTAAAGTTAAGCTCGGACCCCACAGAGGTATACATACCACCGTGAGTCTGCTTCCCTCCTGTCTGTGTGAGCGTCGAAATATACGCGATTCTATACATGGAAACTATCAGTGGTACTCAGCAAAAACGGAAAACACATCCTGACGGGCGTTCCACTATATAAAAATAACCACTCGTTCGGTTAACTGGCGATTTGTCGTGTTAAGTTTATCCGGGTGTGAAAACTAGTTGTGTTTTTCTCGGTAATTATTGAAACCAAATACCATTGTGCATAATATTTGTAGTATACTGGCTTGCAGTATACGTTTACCTTAACGGTCGTGTTAAAATTCGAATTTAGAGGAGAGTTTCCACTCGGGACAAGTGTATTTGGAGGATGAAAAGCCGGAATCTGGCCCCGTCGGGTGTCGTTTTCCTTTCTCTGTTGACGCAGTGAGCTAACAAGTAGCCATTGTGTGCCCCGTGTCAAGATGCTACTTGACGGTGCGCTCCTGAACGGACCCTCTTCACAAACGGTTTCGCTCTTTTATGCAGCTCGTCGGATTCAATGTCTATATAGGCCAGTGATACCGCACAAAACACTTTCCACCCTCTTCGATTGCCATTTCGATTCATTTTTAATCCAGGAAAGGACCCGAAGGATTCGATAAACGAGGTGCATTTTTCAGTAAATATTTTGTTCGAGGGAGAACGTTTAAAAATTATTTGACACTGTGTTTTTTAGAACGTTCTGTTGGAAAACTCGTTGGTACGATCGATGTTCCCGCGCAAGAGGACGAGCAGGTGCGTTAGACGGAATAAAATGGCGAAGAAGTTTGGAAAATGCGATCCTTCGAACGCGGTTGGCTGTTCGTAGCGACGCTTTATTGTACCGTGTTACCGAATAAAGCGGATAATAAGTTTGACGGCGTTACAATGCAGTCATTACGCGCCGATAATGACGGCGCATTCAAGCACGAACGACGAAGGTGAATTGCAATGCACCACCGGCCCCCCAACGGCCGCATCTGTCCGCTAACAATAGCTTCGCGTTCCGCCACCCTGCGAATCGTTACGCGGAAATTAATGACGCCCGTTTTCGTCGGCGAACTCTACGTCGAAATTATATTCTTCCGCCGCGGCAAGGAGCGCGCCTGGTTCACGATCGATGCCGTAAAACGGGCAAAAATAATAGATCCGATAATGGATGGAACGCCCAGACGATCCGGCGTACGCGCCAACGAACGTCGGAGAAGATCGTCGAATACATATTTGGAGAAGTCTAGGCACGACAGTTCGAATGTTTTCGCGTCGAGAATTTATTGTAGAATTCGTGATTCGAGCGTAATCTATATATCCAGCGAGTTCAGACGATGGTTTATTTATTCGACGCTCGGTATAATGTAAGCTATTTTGAGCGGGTACAGAAATTGAAATTGAACGTTAGACACATTTGAAATTGCGTTTGAAGTATTTTAATATAGAAATTACAAGCATGGGTTAAAACTAAATATAGATATTTTTGGAATTCGACTTAGATCTTATCTGGTGGCGATGGAAATCGCGTCGATCGGTATCGACATTCCCTCCCCCCCTGCGAGGATCGATCGCGGATCTATAGACACGATCGCGCGCGAGACACGGCTATTTACAGGGCGTATCGACGTAAATTACGAACGCGAGGGGGGCAACGTCGCTCCACGGCGCGCTTAGACGAGCGTCGAGGAGTGAGAGAATGATTTCGAAGGGGGGAATATTTATGGGCAGACCGGCTGAAATTAATTTATGCAGCCGCATAGGCTGCCACGTAATTTATTCGCGGCGCCCGCGACGATCAGTCACTCTCCTCGCTGGCTTTTGTGTGTAAGGAAATCCTTGCCCATTAGAAACGGCCACGAAGAGCCCTCCTCCACCTATACGCGCCCGACCGATCCCTCTTTCTGTTTCTCTTCCTGAGTGCTCGATAGCGGGCCGCGCCGCATACACGCGGCTCGCTGGAGGATCTAGAATCGCTGCGCGTCGAGGATCTATGGATAAACAACCGGGGACACGGTCCTCCGAAACCGGCCGACATCTTAAACGGGTCAATCACCAGCTTCGAACTCGTTTCGTGGACTTTGTTCCACTGTACGCGAGTTTTTAATACAAACATTTGTATTTGGATATACTAAAACTGATTAAGAATGATCCAACAAGCGGAGGACCCCGACTGTCAGTCTTTGACTCGATCAGATTTTGTAAGATGATATTCAAAGGTCTCGAACGTACAAACGACTCTCGATCTGCTGTAATCATTACTAATTTATCATCTTTCTCTTCCAGAAACTCGGTCTTCTTCTAGAAACGTCCGCGTTCTCAGCGTGCGTGCGATACGTTTGTTTACGAGACTGTATCCCCGGATTTGAGTTGCAGTCGAGCACCGGTATGCAGTACCGATAAAGGGATATGTATATTTTGCTACGTCGAACGGTATCGGTTTCTAATGGTAACATTTACACGCGACAGTATCGAATAGACTTGGAATATTTGGTCGGCTACAACGAGGCGTTGATAGAGTTACAATGGCGCGGCCGAAATTATGCGGACCGTAAAGAAAAACGATAACAGACTCGAGCTCGCAGTCATTTGCGTCGAGCAACGTTCACGGAAGTGGGTCAGTTTTTCCTAACAACTTGTCATATTAATTGCTGTACAAACTGCCTTATTTATGGCTTCCAGTTTCATTGATTTTTCCAGCGACCAAATGTGCCTGTTAACGTTCCAATCTTTTTAATACCTCCAAGTTACGCGAGTTCCGTGACCACGAATTTGATTCAAAGTACTCGCTAGTTGCGCTTAGTTGTACCCCTTAAATTACTTTAAGAACATTAGTTAAATGTTGCGTTGCTATATCTGTGGTAGATACCACGCGCCAGATCACCGAAGAGTTTTACTATTTGAGTTTACGACTCCAAAATACCAACGCAACTCTTGGGTCTACATTTAAAATAGTTTTTAGAAGCGTTTAACTTTAATCCTCTTACACGAGACTCCCCCCTTTTAAGGTCGTGACGTCCGCGCCCAATGTCCGTCCGGAAGTATACGAGGCGCTTCGGGAACGAATCACGGCGATTTCGGGAGCACGGGAAAAGACGATCGAGCCGTGGAGGAAAGAAAGAACCGAGGGGAGGAGGTAAGAGTCCAGGAGATCTCTGTCCAGGATCTCCAGTGCACCCGCGTTATGATTTGTGGGGGCCCAGATCCTGATCCTGTCTGCCTGGAAGAGGCACCCACGCTTTCCAGGAACCGCGGTCCCAGCTCGTGTGGACCGACGGAGGAAGAGGAACGGAGGAGGAGACGGGGCCCGGGGATTCACGGGTGGGGATGGTCTTCGAGATCAGCCGACCCGATTGCACCGAGGGTGTAATGGACGGACTAATTTGTGAAATTTAAATTCCGTCCCCGACGTTTTACCGCGAGGCGAGCCGGTGCGCCCGTAGGGCCCCGGGGCTCCGAGGTCGAGATAAATCGCGACCCCCTTCCCGCCTGCGTGGACTTCATAGAATCTACAGGTACGATCCTGGCGCGGATCTT